AGCTCCAGGTCATCAGGGCGCCATGCTCTAGTTCCCTCTACCACTGCACTCTTCTGGCCTGGACCATTGCAGGCAGGTGGCTACATTTCCAGAATCAAAAGTGAATCCGTTCACTTGCTTATCAGTTTAATCTACACAGTTTAGACTAACCTATGAAGATTGAATCAATTCAGCCTCAGGCTTTTTGACTTTCTGTATGGAGGCCAATTGGGTAACTGGCTGCCACTGCAAAACACAACTTTACTGGAACTTGGGTATGAGATAGCCTCTCTATTGCCACGTACAATCACTACACAGCTTTGAAAAACAATTTAGGCCAAAGTGGTTTCTTGGGTGCCTCCAGCTGAACCTTGCAGCACCCAAGCATTACACTCTTTGCTCCAGATTGTAATTCAGTTTGCCTAGAGCAGGAACTTAAGGAACTCTATACAGTCAGTAAAGAGGGTTCAGAAGTATCAAAATGCAATTCAGGTTTGGGAATGTAGGTATCACTCTACACAGAAATGAGGGAGTGGTAAGTGTAATTCAAAATGTTGTGGCTGTTAGTACAGGCCCAATCTGAACAGCCTTGGAGCCTAGGCAGGAACTCCAAGGTTACATTTAAAATACTTGAAACTAATCTGAATCCTGGCTTTTGCATCCTCTCAGACTCCTTTTGAAAAGCAAGAGAACTCGTTATACATTTCACAAAATGTTATTAGCATTTCAGCTCAGCAAAATCGGGGTTCAGCCCCCTAACCTTTTGTGCTCCAATTATAAAAAGTGTTAACAAGATGATGCTTCTAAGGATGAGAGTTATTCTTGTTCCCAAACTTCAGCTCTCCAGGCTCAGCGTGATAGTAAGAGTCACTGAAGGGGTGAGAAGCAAATACATCTTATCCATGATGGTGCTGTTGGAATCACAGAACGTTTTCTCCACTAAGTTTAATTAAAGCTCTTGTCTCAGAATTGAATGTCACACATGACCTTTCTTCTCTAGTGAATACTTCTTCTTGCAAGTCTCTTGGTGACAGAATCTAGTAGTTCTTGTTCATTTGATTTTGTTGACTAATCTAATCTATTGCTATCATCTTCCTGAAAGATTAATTCTTCAGTACCCATTCAAATTCAAGGACCAGCTGAAAGTGTTCATCAACTAAGTTCAATTATGCTCTCCTTTCCAGGTAAATTAGTGTCATCTAGAATGTCTCACAAGTAAGGCCTACTCAAGGATATGGAGGACTTTGACGCCAACGTTTATGACACCAGGCAGTGGTGCTCAATGTGACCTGGATTTGGCCCCTGCATAGGGCTATGCTATCTGGCCCACAGGGCTCACCCATGGGTTCAGAAATTTGGCAGCACTGCTCCCTCACTACCAACATTTCAGGACCTGTGGGGAGTCCTGCAGGCCGGATGACCGCTCCAAGAGCTGGATCTGGTCTCTGAACCAGGGGTTGAGTATACCCGATATAGGGGCTTATGTAGAAAAAAAGCTATCAAGGATGTCCACTTAGACTTGAACTCTCTTTACCATAGTTGATCAGTGACAAGTTGTTAGAGGCCTGCTGACTACTTTCTTTCTGGAATACCTTGCACAGCTGCTTTCCTGGACAGCGCAAACTCCTTGCCTGCAAATTATTCAGAATTCTTTCCCATTTGTCCAAGATTTTATATGCATTAAGTGCTCTGTTTAGAAGGCATCTTGCATATCCCCACAAATAAATTCAAGTGATTTGAGTATGCCTTCTACATTAAGACGAGGGACCATGCGTATACTCAAGTCCATGCGAGTACACATTAAAGCTACCATGGATTTCCTTACCTCTTTTTTAGTATCTAAAATATGAGTCTAGATGCAGAGTTTAATATGCTGGAAATCAGCTAGTGTTTAAAGGTTTCCTCTCTCCTTAACCTGAACATTACATGCAGAAATGCACTGATACAACAAGGAGTCTCACATTTGTCTACTGGAATTTATTTAGTGCTTCATACAGCCAACGGCATTTAATTCTACTTCACAATGGGGCAGGGGGGGAAGAGTGGAAATCAGATGCTCAGGCACCTAAAGCTATGGATCCAGTACTGAGCTGCACCCATTCAAGAGACAAGTTTACACTTGTGTTCATATAGGACTTCCATGGAGATAAGCCATCACATATATACTTCCAGAGCCACGCACCACTATTTCCCTCCTCTAGATATTAAATATATCAAACCCGGGTCTAGGTGCCTGTATTCTGAAATGATTAATTTGTAAGGTAGAGCTGCTGTTTGAGCTCTGGAAGAGACTACTACTGTTCTTTGCCGACTGACCTGAATTACCATGTTCTGGCTTCATAAATATTAACCATACCATCCACCCAGAGCCAATTATGGCCAAAGTATGCATAGCAGCACATTGGATAAAAACCTTGACTCTATAACATGGTGGCAGTTCAGCTGTGCAAAATGAAGTGTGAGACCCTTAGGGAACTCTAACACTGTTTTCCAGAAAAACACAGTTGGAGTAGCATTTTCAAACAGTAAAATCACAGACAGAGAGAGAAAAAATACATAGTTGCATCAAATATTATTGATGAACAATATCAAGACTGAGCAAGAGTTCTTTGCTGGAGTTGTACTAAAAACACAGCCAAATGTATGTAACAAAAGTACGCAAGAAAGCTTCAAAGCCTCCTAGTGCTAAAGAATACATTATATAAGTTCCAAGGCCTCAACTTGAAACAACCACCCAGAGTAAGGATGCTTTATAGCCTCTACTTCAAAGGCAGCTCTAATGCAAGATTTCAGTGTTTTTCTGCAGCCACTGAGATCATTACAACATGAAATATTGATTTCCTATAGCGACTAAAGCACATCTGCCAAACTTAAGTTCAGCTTAAGTACAAGATAGTAAAATATTGGAAAAAGCATTTTTCTATTTGCAAACTCAAAATTTACACGTGCTTATAGAACAGTTTATCTTAAACTAAATTTGATCTAGGGAAAAATTGAGCATTTTAGATTAATAAATCCAACAATGCCTAGGTATTAGTAGTAAAGGCATTTTATATTTAACCATTAATATTTTACCCTTAGAGAAGGCAATTGTGATTAGTAAATTTACCTTCATTTAGCTGCCATTTGAAATTGTATTTTTTGCAAGGTTCATATCTCAGAATTAGTTAGAGAGCTCTTGTGCTTTGGATCTTTTCTTATCTAATACCAAAGACAGATATGATTTTAAAAAACTGGCTACACCTTGAGAAATCTTGGAAGATTATATGAAGAAATGCAAGTGACAAGGGCATTCACAAGCATCTACGTTGACTTAAGATTGAGCCCCAACAGATGTCACAGATCAAAGTACACGTTTTAATTCAATTGTTAACAGACTCTTCTTCAGTTGTGCCAAACTTGTATGAAGACGTGTCAAAGAGTCAGTCATCAGAAAGCAGACAAGTATACCCAGTCCACAAGGAGGGAAATAAGTGAAAGGATACCCAGTCAGGCACAGAGCCACGACAGCAGGGATTAGCAGTCAGTCAATGCAGACCATCCTCAACAGACTTGGGCATAAGAAAGGTGTCGTCAGCAAAAGGAATGTCAAGAATGATGATCAGTGATGAGAAGTAGTAAAAGTTGACATTTCCAAGCACATTTTGGAGTAGTTTGAAGCAAAGTCAGAAAGAGTCCCAAGCAGGACTGCAATCCAGGATGAGACATGGAATCATCATTTTAATCCTGAGACTAAACAGAAGAGCATGCAGTGGAAGCGTACACAATTGCTATTTCAAGGCACTCAAGAAAATGCCATGAGTCAGTAGGGTCACAGCCACACGTTTTTTTGGGGGGACAATGATGAAGCAATTATGAGTGACTAATTTTTAAACAAGCAAGACCAGAAGGGGAGTATTACGCAAGTAGACCGTTGAGCTTGTGAGAAGCTGTCGGGAACAAGCACATCGGAAAGCAAAGTCAAGGAGAGCTGCCTCTCCAGGACAATGCACTGTTCCACACATCTCAAGCTGCAGTTACCAAACATGGCTTTGAACTGCTTCCCAATTCAGCCCATTCACCGCATTTGTTCCTCAGAGTTCTCCAGGTCCCACCTAAGTTGAAGGCCTTCGCAGGAAATGCATCAAATGAAGTGACTGCAGCAGTTGAGAAGTTTCTGATCATGCAGGACAAGGTTTTCTACAAGACGGGCATGAACAAGCTAATTTGATGCTGGACCAAGTGTACTGATAGAGGGGGACAATACTGAAAAATAAGCAGCCACTTGATTGCAAATAGCATTACTTTGTGAGGCTAGAAACTTTCTGAAAACCTCTCAGTACCAAAACCACCTCAGGCCTCCACTAATGAAAAGCTAAAAAGATGTTTTTAAAGACTGTACCTAATAAGTTTCTAAAACTACAGTTCTAAGTCCTATCCGACTTGTGTCCAATTAAGCTAGATAATTATCAAAAAAAATACCTAATGTCATACTGTATTCAGCTTGAAAATGAAAGTCACGCAACCAAAAATATACTTAGGATAGGTAACGAGAAGAATGCACAATATGGGTAATAAGTTCATTTTGCAACGAAAGCTTAAAAACAAACAAAAAAACCCAAAAAACCCAAAAAACTTAAGAGCACATTCCAAAGGAGACTAAAAGCATTTACTCTTTTACAAATGAGGATAATGAAGAACAAAGAAACATTTGATTTCACATGGGTCTCACAATTTAAGGAGATTTTAGTTATCTACAGCAACAGTTCCCAATCTGTGGTACGGGTACCACCAGTGATACACAGACAACTTGTCAGTGGTACGTGTCAACAGATTTATTATAATTACTTTATATGACAAGTGTGCTGGTGGTACTTAAGGTTGTATTATTTTAAATTGGTGGTGTGCCATCTGTCAGTCTGGGAACCGCTGATCTACAGCATATAATCTGAATGTGATGGTACACTGAAAGCCTTAAAAAAAAGTTATGTTGCTCATTAAAACAAGCTCAGTTAATAATGATGAAAAATTACAATACTAACAGGGATGAGAAACTTCTTGATTTCTTCCAAAGCATGTCCCATTCTGGCATATGCCTCTGCTGGTGGGGCAAATACTTCAATTAGAACATGCAGGTCATCATTTAGGTGGAAATATTTTGCCTCTCCACTTTTTCTCAACTCTTCTTCCTAGGGAGAAC